ATAATAATAATCTGCACATTCTTCAGAGTAAAAAGGGTTTTTATTAAAATGTTTGTGACCAGCTGTCAATCATCGGGTCATGGGGTCCTCCTGGCAGCAGAGAGGGGCTGCAGAGATCTCCAGGGGTCCTCCAGCATGGAAGGGCTGAAATATTTCTCCACAGGAACCTCAGAAGTTCTGGACTGGAAACACAACAATCAGGTTACAGGCAGGGAAACAGAACCAGAACACATCAGATCTGACATCCTGTAGACCGGTCTTTAAACATCTGGACCCCCTCTGGACCCCCTCCACACCTTTAAATCTGAGTTAAATAATTAAAAATAAACTTATTGAACTAACCAGGACTGGTTAACGAGTTATTAAATGGAACTGATGAACTGTTAAATAACATTCAACCATTAAATCATCCTGAGGAAAATAAAAACAATAAACTTTAAATGAAGGAGCTGAAACAGAAACACAGAGTTCTGCAGACCCTGACCGGTACCTGCGGGTTCGGACTGAAGGACTGAGGCCGCCGGAAGCCGAAACCCTGGTCCCAGTTCTGGCCCTCGAACCCTCGGTTAGAACCCGGAGAGCAGGGAGGCTGGGCCCGAGTCCCGGGGAAAGACCAGCCTTGAGCCGGGGAAGGGAACCTTCCAGGTGGCCGCGGGGCTCCGGGACTCCGTTGATGTCTGACCGGAGACCGATACATCTGAGCCGAAAATACCAACCGGACCGGACCGGACCGGAACCGGAAACACGCTGAACTCCGTGGTGTGCAGCGCCGCCTAGCAGCCGGGCGGAAGATGGTTTCAAACGTGGCACAGCCGCCATGTTGGAGAGGTCAACAGTCGGAACCACAGTCTGGTCCCAGAGGAGAACTGGACCTGTGGTCTCAGACTGGTGGAGCAGAACTCCCGGGTCTTATCAGAACCAGAACTTTAGAAGACTCAGGTAAAATGAAAGACCTGTTTTCAGATTCATTTGGACATAGAAACAAAGACACACACATATTTTCATTTGTTGTCTTCAGTAATAAAAAATTAATTAATTTCATTTATTTATTTACAAATTCTACTTAGACTACAACAAAAAATACAAACCAGAAGCAAAATGAACGGCAGCAGGAAAAGAAATCTTGTAAAATCTGCCCCATCAGTGGAGCTCCATCAATAGGAAGACCCACCTAATTCTGTTTATAAAATGTTTTATTTTCTTCTAAATATATTTTATTCTTTTCATGTCAAACAGTGACGGAGGCCTGCAGGACTCCTGAAGCAGCTGACAGCTACGTCAGGCTGCCTGAACTGTTTTTAGTTTTTAAAGCTGAGCTAAAGACCCACTTGTTCACAGTCGGATGTGTCTTAATGTTTACGTTTATATTTTTATTGCTTTTTTTGGTGTTTTATCTCTTCCTATCACCTTTTACTTTGGTTTCATCAACTTTCTGTAACAATAACATCCATCCATCCATCCATCCATCCATCCATCCATCCATCCATTTTCTTCCGCCTATCCGGGGTCGGGTCGCGGGGGCAGCAGCTTCAGAAGGGA